GAACCAGGGAACAGAAAAGGGAAAGCTGCACAATCCCCACAGAAGGATTTAGGAGTTTACTCTCATTTAGTACTGGGAATGCTCAGGGGCTGCTCACTGCTGCTCCTGTCCAGAACCAGGGAACAGAAAAGGGAAAGCTCCACAATCCCCCAGGAGGGAGGATCTGACAGGGGCAGGAACAGCAGAGCCAAAAGGAGGTTTTGCTGAGGGAAAGGGCAGTGAGGAGGCACAGAGAGCTGCAGGATCAGTCACTAACACACTGCCTGCCCTCCCTGGCACCAACAGCTCCAGGACACAGCTCAGGGTTAAACTCTGGGGAGAGCTGAGGGAATAGCAAATCTTTGCTTTTCAGCTCCACTGACATCAGAGACATCAGGAAAACCAGGGAATGTTATGAAATGTGATTGATTTACTGTCAAAGCACCATACCTGGATGGTTTCAGGGCCCCATTCAGGGAAGCAGCAGCTCCTGTCAGGCTGCAGGAACTCAGCAGCGATGCTGAACCTCCACTGGKGTCACTGTGCCTGTCCCCAATGTCCTGGACACCTGTGCCTGGCTCATCTTTATCATTCCTCACTGAACACAAAGCCATTTTTAGTCCTGAGCAATATGYAAAGTTTAAAAACCTCTCACAATTCTGTGGTTTCAAACACAGTTCTCCTCCCCCTTCTCCTTTCCTTTTCTCCTCTAAAATGCATAAATACCCATGCATTAMCATAATTAAATGAGCGAGCGGGGCTAATAGGACTGATTTAGTCGAGAAGAAAAGGATATAATTAGAGTGCCAAGTAACAGCACTATCGATGGTGACAGGATGCTTGGAGCACCAAAGGGACACTCTGAATTACAGCACAAAGGCTCCAAATTTCTGCTGGTGACAGAAATGCCAGGGGACATGGAGCAGGGGAGAGGCAGAGCCCACACCATGTGCTCACCCATCCCACCTCTCCCTAACCTCAGGAGCAGCTCTGCCCTCAGCCCACTGCCAGGGATGAACAGAACAAGCACTGTCAAGGGCAGCCACAAAGCTGCTGCTTTCACATTAGCATCCTTAACATTTCCCATCTAATCAGATTTCCTGTTGGTTGGGGAAAGCTGCCTTTCCTCATTACCAGCTGCTAGCCCAGATTTCCCTCTCCCCATCCCCAATCCGTGTTTTGCCATGCTTGTCTGCTTTTCTGTGTAAAAAGGTTATGTATGCCTGGAGGGAGACTAAATGTTACCAAAAAAAAAAAAAAAAGAAAAAAAGAAAAAGGAAAAAAAAAAATCCCACATGAAAACAGAACTACGGGCAAGTGTCCAAGACTCCTGATTGTGTGACTGTGACTAACCAATGGGTGTTTTTAAAAAACATTTGTCTCATTTTATTCCCTCCCCTGGACGTAACAATACAACTCAAATTAGTTTTCCAGGAGCTGACTTCTTTTTATGTAACCATGTTTTGTACAGAGAGCAGCAGCAGCTTATGTTTAAACTATTTAAGAGAACAAATAGCTGCAAAATGTACTTCAGATGGCCCCTCTCCTGTCAGCAGTGTGYTCCTGGCTGGAGGGAAGCTACAAAAACACTCTGAATTTGCTGCTGCTGGGATGTGAATGTAAACAATGCCCAATGCCCACAGGAGCCAGAATCCAGGTAAGGATGTCACTCTGCTGGTTTGATGGCATTTAAGAGATCCCCAGCACTGTAAACTGCAGAGTGACATGGGCAGAACAAGGCTGGAATGATGCAGAATAAAGCAGAATAAAGCAGAATAGAACAGAATAGAGCAGAATAAAGCAGAATAAAGGAAAATAAAGCAGAATAAAGCAGAATAAAGCTTTAACACAGTCCCACGTTTCCCCAGCGTTAGGGAGGGCAGCATCCCATCTGAAGTGCAGTCCAGACTGGCAGGCATCACCCTGCTGGCACTGGGCTCAAATGGAAATTTCCACTTTTTGGGAAGATCTCATCCTTGTGATTTCCTATTGTTCTCCTTCCTTCCCCTCCCTCCCCTCTCTGCAGCTCCTGGGCAAGGACTGCACATCCTTGGGCTGGTATCAAAGGTGCTGGCCCTGGGCTGCTTCCTGAGGTGTTCTTGAGGCACCAGGGTGTTGTGAATAAAGATGAAACACGGATCTAATTTCCTCATTCCCACTTTTGCTTTCAGAAATAGGCCTGAGGTACGAGAATTGATGGAGCWGCAGGCTCAGGTACCAGCAATGGGGGTGTTTAATTCTTTCAGCAAATAGCAGAGTGTTTCCCAAACACCCCTGCAAAAAGCCTGGAAAATCTTTTACCTGGTAGCATCCTACATGCCCGGGGAGTCCAAATCCTGAAATGATAAATGAGGCTCCCCGAGCATTGACCCTGSATAAAAATGGTTAAAAGGTGCAGAGAAATCCATCATCTAAACAAAAGAGTGGCAGAGTTAGAAACATGCAGGCTTTACTGTGTGTCCCCATTTCTCAGCAGATAAAAAAGGTGCATTTTTATACTCTCTGCAGAATCTTTCAAGTCTGCAATTTTCCATAAAACTTCCATCRTGACATTTTACTTGGAGAACTTTGCTTGCAGCTTCCCAGTTGYCATACTTTCCAGTACCTTCAAAAGTATGCAATTTATGTCACAGTACTGAGTTTAAACATTTCTTTTCCTTTACCCTAACWGCACAATTGAGCTGTTAACTGCTGGGATCTCACTGGAAGGAATTCTGCTCGGATTTGTTTCAGCCACTCCATTAACTTTGATGATGCAGGGTTTGCATGGAAAGCACAGCTCAGATCACAACCAAAATTTTTTAAGCTTTATGCCAACAAACCACTGAGGATGGCACACATGAGCCTGTCATGGCTCTAATGCCATCACCAARCAATTCACAGATTTGGAAAAAASACAYGAAATGCAATCCGAGACACWACAGAGGTTAAAAGGATTCTGAATSAGGAATTTTTCCTCCCTGGCTAGAGGCGTCTTTCAGAGAAACACCCACAGAAATCACACACAACAGGAATTGATGTTACTCTGAATTTCCAGSCACTCTGATGGCTGTAGGACAGGCCAGCATTGCTGGAGCCTGTCTGACAAACAGAGCAGCATTCCTGGAGTAGAGGAGCAGGGATAAACCTGGGAACAACATCCATCCTTGTGCAGGGCAAGGGATAAACCTGGGAACAACATCCATCCTTGTGCAGGGCAATGAAAGGAGGGATAAACCAGGGAACACACACTCATCCTTGTGCAGGGCAGTAAAAGATGACAAGCTTCCTCTCAGAACTAAACATTTCCACTGAGAGTGAATAACAATGCCATGTGCCACAGGGAAGGGATGACAGAGCAGATTCAGGAGAGCCCAAGCTCTGCCTGTCCATACACTGCTGCTCCCCAGAGCCTGCACATCCCAAATTCCTCAGCACTGAACCAAACACATCCCCAGGAGGCTCAGGTTCTGGAGAGATGGCCCAGCATTGCTCCTCTTCCCTTCTTCCTCCTGCACAGGCCCCTGGGGTGTAAACTGGAGATTATTCACTGAAATTATCAGAGCCAGCAGGGATCCARCTGCAGGGTCAGTCCACTGAAATCACCACAAAACTTCTGCTGCAGTCACACATGAGCACACCAAGGTTTAAATAGAGCCTGGCAGCCCAGGATGCTTTGGTACCCCCACCTTTCTGTGGATTCCAGGATGTGGAATCTTCTGCTCACCTGGAGAAGCTCAGCTCCATCATCTTCCTACAGGAGGGCAATGTGAGCAGCTCTGGGYKCCAAATTTACTCCTGAACAACACARACCCTGACAGATGACAGGCAATCAGRTGATAGGACGTCTGCTAATCCAGARGAGTGTTTCAGATTCACCTTTCCTTCATGTTTGATGAGTTATGAAATCACAACTTCCATCGAGTCAGCCCCAGAACTGAGAGGACAATTGGGCTTTTTTCAACCCCCAATTTTAACAGTCAGTTGTATCAACACTAAAACAAGAAACCTCTCCCAGGCCTTGAACCAGAATGTGTATCAGAGTTAATATTCCTGGCGCAATGATAAATGCTATTTTAATAAAATACTTCTATTTAAAAAGACACAAATCTCTCAGAGGTGGTACAAAGAACGTTCATGCAAAATCTGGGGAATGGAACAAGAGAAAGCATTGACTGAAATATTTTGGGCCAGCAGTGACAGCTCAGCTGATGCCCATCCTTACAGAGAGGAGAACACAAATGATTTGTAATAACAGCTCCAACTCTGCCACTCCTGCAGACACAACTGTGGCCAAATCCAGCCCTGAATATTTCATCTTAAACATTTGTACCAGCAGCAGCATTATTTGTCTTGGCAGATACTGGAGCTTAGGGAATACGAAGCAATAATGCAAAACACATACGGAACAATAAGAGAAAATATTGAAAAATATAATTTTATAAATAGCTTAACCTTATGCACACTAGATGAACGAGATACACCTCATTGACAATTTCATATTAGTAAACACAGCATGAGAAGAGACCATACCTTTGATTTMTCTGAAAAGAAAAACAATCTACTTATATTTTTTTTCTGCTCTGCATGCATGTCATTTCCCAAAATGCAACCCGGCGTGCATTACAGACAAATTCACCCTGCTGCCCCGAGTTGAACTGCCACGAGCATTCTCTAGCGCTGTGCAGAAGCCTTATGGAGTGCAAGGTGCTGGGACAAGCTTAATCTGAGCCTAAGGGCTGCATTTCCAGCAGAGTGCAGCTTCAGGAGCGACTGCACAAACCCCACCAGGAATCGATGCTGGTAAATTAGCAAGCAGCTTTGGGCAGCCAGAAACACGGGCAGTGTGTAATGATGAGAGCTGGAACACGCAAACTTTATTTGAGAAAAAGCAGCGCCGTTCATCCCTGCAGTGACCCCGAGGTGCTGATTCCCTGCCAGGCAAGCAAAGGGACATGAGGACATCCCCTCCCTGAGCACCCCCAGAACACACAGAGAGAGAAAAAAAAACAAACAGAACATGGACCCAGAGTGCCACAAACCTTCCGGCTCCGTGTTCTCTTTGAGGTGCACTTGCTTCAGTGGGCAGCAGAAGATTTCGTGACACTTAGCACGAAAAGGGGACTCTTTTTTCTTTAATTCCGCAGATTGGATGGAATCTTGCCGTAACATAATGTACTCCTGAGTGCCAGGGGGAGCGTCATCCATAACTGTGGTCACCACACAACAAAATGAACCCAAGTTAGAGCTCGAGGAAAGCAATCCACAGAATCAAATCAACTACATAATGGCAGGGTGGGGAGAGACAGGAGGGGAAGGAAGGTTCACAGGAAGGAAAATAAACTTTAAAGTGTAAAGTGTCTTAGTCATGGTGGTAGAAGGGTGGGAGAAAACATTTACTTTTATAAACAACACTTCCCATAAACCTCAATAGTTCAAACCATTTCATGCAGCTTTAATAAACAGTAGAATAAAACTCTGCTCCAAAAAGCAACAGAGCTCCCTCCTATATGTGCTTTATTCTCCTCTAGCACCCCTRTTCTGCATGCAGATCAAGAACAAAGCAAACCAAACGTGCTTTTATGGCCTCTCCAAAGGCAATCTGTGCATGGACACCCGTGAGCAATCTGCAGGAGCACCAATGTGTGTGAAYTCCCCACATTTATTCCTGAGCAGGATAAATGATCACACCCATTCCCTGGAGCAGGGATGAGAACCCAGGGACACCTGATTGATCAGCATTTCCAACAGATAGAAGAGTCCATGTGCAAAGAGAAACAACATTAATCCTTCTGATGGTTTCCATGTAAAACAGCAAATAATTTTAGAAGTTTATCTTATAAATCAATACTGCCATTAATAACATWAATGATGTGCAGTTTGAAATGTTTTCTGAATGTGGTCAGATTATTAAATGGCAAAAAGATAAAATACAGAAAGCTCCAGCTACCTCAAAGTATTACATTACCAGAAAGAAYTGAAACACTTTTCCACTATCACAAAAATGAAGCTTTAATAACAGAGATAGTGAGAGATTCCTCAGCTCACAGCTTTGGGCACACATCATCTCACAAGAACAAAAATTAACGGTTTTTCACGAGACAGCTTCTAACCACCAGCTGTTATTTATAGTGTAACAGAGAGATAYGAAACTACAGCCAAAATCAAACTCAGATCCCACAACCCTATGTTAAAAACCCACAAAAATAAAAATAAAAATAAAAAAATTCCAAGAGTTAGGAAAGTAAAATTTCAGTAATGAGGGAAGTAACTATTGAGAGACTCGTGTAAAACTGTTGGCCATTAATTCTAACAAYTTAACTGTTTCCTAAATATCTGCCAATGCACAGACATCTGAAAAACCTGCCTGATTTAAATATGGATCCCCTCAAACAAATATCCTATTGCATTTTCGTGCACTTGATTTCACCCTCTGGTAAGGGTCACATCTCAGTGACAAATTCAACGTGACAGTCTTTGCATTCACTGTGGGCAATGAGGTTTTCTTTCAAAACCTCATTAATGCACCACAGAAACTTTGCACCTTGGCTGTTGTTTCTTCATTAGGGCACACAATATCAGTAATAGATGTTAATAATCCACATTAAGGGTCATTAAAAGGAATGCATTAACTGCTAGGAGTGCACAGGTAGTTCAAAAAAGAGCAGCAGGTCCAAGAAGCAGAGCACTAACACAGCCCCAATGCTGGAATGATGTATGGGCAACTTAATTGGTGTCAGTGCTCTGAAGGAACAGCTAAAACCCTTCTGTACCGTGATGAATGGCCTCAAGTCAGGCTGAGAATTTATTACAAAATGAGGAATACCCTCTGACCCTGCTGTGTCCTTTCCCTGCTGTGATGACAGCCAGACACCCTCTGGAGCCACTGAAATCACAACTGCAGGACCTCAGGGCCCCAAGAACCACAGACAAGTCTAAACCACACAGAATGGAATGGAAAAAGCTTCAAAAAGCTGACGGTGGCCATCTCTGGTGACCAAAGATCAGCAGTGCACAACCATGAAAGGATCAGCATTAAACTGTGAGGAAACGCTTTGGAAAGGGGAGAAACATCAGCAGACATTCTCTGTGACTTCACCAATGGATAAAATCACACGTACTAAAGAATCACACAGGCACAGAGCAGGAGAGAAACCATCAATTGTCGGGAATTGCAGGAATGCAAAGCAGTGTTCACAGCCTGAATGTGGAGCAGAGGACACTGCCTGCACTCAGTCCCTGGATCTGCTCACCCTTCTCTGTGCACTGCACACATCCACACATCCAAATCTGCTCATTTGGGCAACAATCACCAGCCAGCACCACGCTCAGATTGGGAGCAGAACACCCAGAGCAGCCTGGCAGATGCTCAGCTCCACTCCATCCCGGGGATGTTGTCCTCAAGAGCAGAGAGAAGAAACCTTCACTGGGCACATCCACATTTCCTTGGTGTACCCATGGTGCCAGCCTCCATTCAGCTGTCTCTGCTGTTGTATTTCAGCAGTGTTTTTGTGTTTTTAATCTATTCTAATCTATTCTAATCTATTCTAATTCTAATCTATTCTATTTAATCTGTTTTTTGTGGTTTTAATTCTATTCCTCCCCATCCTCATGGGTAGAACACATCAATGTTCTACGTTCTCATCTTCCCATGAATAAAACAGGGATAAGACTTCATATGTCACGGACATGGGTTATTAATATACTGCTAAAGAACTTGAATATTCTCAGATAAAAATGATAAATAAATGCTACACAGCTTTGAAAAAAATTAATCTTTTTTTTTCTCCTCACAATCTGATGGAGACCAAACCCACAGCAGCCGTGTGTACATGAGAGGAATTTGCTCAGCACCAAGTATAAAATAACTGCAGTCACCATTATGCTTCCTACGTCTAAACATTCAGCTTGCTAAATAACACCCTGTAGCGCATTCTTTTGTTCAAATAAAATAATAATTACATTAATAAAAACTTCCTGTCAACAAGCCAGTAGGAAAAAAAATCTCTTCTTCCTACAAGCTTTACTGAGAGAAAGCAATCTTTAGGATGACTGCCGGCACCAGGATGTTTTTGAGATAAATTCAAACATGTTTACTTTATATAAACACACCAGCTAAACAGTCCACTGGTTTGTGTCTCTCTTTTATGTCCAACTGCATTTCAGTCCCATCTAGAATTGCCAGAAACCATAACATCAACSCTGTCCATGGGCCTTGGCTCGGGTTCCAACCGAATAATCTTTGATGTAATTCTGAGTTTAATAAAGCTCTAAGGAAATATTTTTCCCCCTGGTTTTACATAGGGAGGTTTCAGCTCTGCTAGCTAAAGGCTGCAGCAACCATGGAGTAAATAAAATCCAGGCAAAACAAATGCTCCTGTTCTTGTTGAACTATTGTTCTTGTATGTACGACACTATTTGACATAAAAAAAAATAATACTTCCAAGGATCCATTCACTCCTTGAACAAACTTTTCAGGTCATTACCTTAAACACGAATTTTCTTCCTCCTGTGGTTCCCTAACTTTTCCCAGTCTGGTTAGTTTTACATGCTGTGATCCCCAGGATACTCACACTTACAATAAATTAGATTTGCTGCCATTTTCGAACTAAATACTAAAGTCTCATCTCYACACTCGAGGTCTTYGAGCCACAGAGARCATTAGAGAACCCCTGAAATCCTGCACCCACAAAGTGAAGAAAATCCTGCACCCACAAAGGGAAGAAAATCCTGCACCCACAAAGGGAAGAAAATCCTGCACCCACAAAGGGAAGAAAATCCTGCACCCACAAAGGGAAGAAAATCCTGCACCCACAAAGGGAAGCAAAGCCCTTCTCAGTGGCACAGGGGAGGAATTGCACCCAGTGTGGTTTTTTTGGGCAAATGAGCACAGTTGGTGCCTTCCCAGTGTCACCTTTRTGGGACACAGAGCCTCTCCATCCCCCTTCCCTCAGCCACAAAAGGACAAAAAGGGCACCAGGGGGGTCACTCAAGCCCTGGGGCTGTTTTAGAGTTACGTAGGAATTTTATTTTTTTTTCCTTTTAGGGGAAAACATTATGCTATCAAGTTGCTTTCAGCTCCTTACAGGAACAGCCTAAAAAAAAAAAACCCTCTCTAAAATAACTTCCTTCAAAGGACAGCAAAGGGTAGGAAAGTGGGGTACTTTTCTGTAGTAACATTTTCCTAGTTGAGACAGCTGATGAAAATCTCTCAGATTTATGTGTAATAAAAATCCCTTTTGTTTCTTTTCATCACTGCTTTGTTTTCCCCCTAATTTTTCTCAGCTGAAGGTGTGATTTTTTTTGTTTTAGCCACCTGGACAACATAATAAACTCATAGCACAACAATACTTACAATCTAGTTGAAAAAAATTCTATTCTGGGGTTGCAATACACTCAAAACCTCTTAATGACACCACAGTCTATCCAAACCATTTCAGTCTGAAGCTTTGCCAAAATCTTGATGAAGTATTCTCACCAAACAGCCCTGGCACTTCTGCATCACCCAGAAATCTTATTTTCAGCTTGCAGCTGTGCTCCCAACTTTGAAGTCTGGTGGACTCTGACTTGCAGTTTTCACAATGAAGACAATATTACAGGAAGCACAAGCAGCCAATTCTCTGATTTTTATTCACAGCAATCCATTTCTGGAGCCCCTGGTTTTGCATCACTCCTTTCTCCCTGGTACACCACCAAAACCAGGCACCACACCAGCTAATTTCAAACTGAGAGAAACAAAACAGCAAAAATACCTCGTGAAGGACACAACTTTCTTTAGATGACTTTTCARAACTCAAAGGAGGCTGAAAATGAGCTGTGATTGCATCTGGAAGCTGCTGAGGGATGAGAGGTGCCAGGGACAGCCCAATCCTTCACTCCCATGGGTAAAGGGGTCTGGTYTTTGTTCTCAAACCAATACTCCAAATTTCCTCCATGGCAACTATTTCCTGTGCTTGGTTTTGAACTGATATTAAAAGGACAGTTTTGTGGCATGCATGAATAGAGCATTAATTTTGAGATGGGCAGGAACTGTCTCTGAGATTTCAGATACACGGGGAGGCAAATCCTTTACCCAACAGAGGCTTTCAATATTTGGAATGATTTCCCAAATTTCATCATCCACTCAAAGGCTGCAGCTCAAGCACAGGTAATTTTATCCTCTCCAAGACAGAGCTCCTCCTGCTTTAGAAGAATTGCAGTCCCTTCTGAT